ATGAACTGTGAACCAAATAGCTGAGGAGCCCCCATGGAACTGGACCAGGCCCTCTGGATAAGTGAGACAGTTGGTTAGCTTGAACTTTTTTTACAGGCTTTTGTAATGTGAGAAGTCTCATCACAGAGGACAGATCAGTGGACAGGAGGAGCTGCTGATGGTCCATTTCTAACACGGTTTGGTAAATGAGCAGAAGGGAAAGCCAGAATCCAGTGACTCCAGGGACAAGTGGGAGATGAGGAAAGGAAGAAAGAAAACTCAATTTCTAGAGGAAAGGTGAGTTAGATTTAAGTTAGGGACTCCATGAAAGTGTGAGGACACTGATGTCTGAGCTAGCTGGGGTGGAGGGAGATACAGGAAAGAAGAGGATGAAAACAAAGTCCTTTTGAGCAGTGTTGGGCTTTTATAACTTGCATGCTCAGGTGCAGCACGAATCTTTAAAGTTCTTAATAAAAACAAACCCAGGGCCTGGTATTGGGGTGAACACTGGAAAATCAGAGAAGCAGAACAAGCCACAGCTACCTCACCTTGCCAATTCCTCAGCTGATCCTGATTCTTCAGACTGGAAGCCTCTGAGTCCTCATCTGAATGGATCTCAGATGACTGCTGCTAAAAGCCTAAAAGCTTAACCACGATCTAGTTCCTCATCCTCATGCCTTAAATACCTTTCTGCTTCCTACCATCACTTCCTGAGATTAAAGGCTCTTGTTACCATGCCTGGCTGTTTCCAGTGTGGCTTTGAACTCACAGCGATCCAGAGGGATCTCTACCTCTGGAATGCTAGGATTAAAGCATGTGTGCCACCATTTTCTGGCTTCTAAATCTAGTGGCTGTTCTGTTCTCTGACCCCAGATAAGTTTATTAGGGTGCACAATATTTTGGGGAACACAATATCACCACACTCAGGTAACCTGGAACTGCTCTGAATTAGCTCATTTCTCACTTAGCTCTCCTGGGGTTCACACATACTTAATAGAACTTATCACCTAAGATGTAGTCTTCAGTGTGTCCTCCATGAAATGTTGAAGAGTCCCCAGGGTCATGGTTCTGTCCTGTCCTTCCAGCTCTTCCCGAAGATAGCTGTGGTAAAATCACCAGGAGCATGGTGTTACTAGCTGCGGGTGATGGAAAATTGTCTTTCTTTGTGGTAGGGTCTCATGTAGCTCAGGCTAGCCATGAGCTAACTAACAAACCAGCTACATTAACTTGAATAGTTAAGGACGACTGGAAACTTTTATTCTTCCTCATTCTAATTCCCATGTTCTTGGGCCACAACCACTACACCCAGTCTAAAGTAATGGGGAAACTTTCTCAGGTAGGTGCTAACTACTCAGGTAATTGGACATATATAGGTTTTGTTTCTACAAAGAATGTAATATGGTAAAATAAAAATTCAAGTCTTAGTACTATCACAAAAATGAGGGTTTTTTAAATTTTGTTTTACAGCGTTGTTTAAAAATCTTCTCAACTTTTGTAAGAAAAAGCAATAAAAAAAGAACTGAATAATACAGAATTGTAGCATGCAAAATGGCAATCACTCTTGGAATGTAATACTACACATGCCTAGAATCTGCGTTTCCAAAAAGATTCTCAGGTAGATCCTTCAGCGAGGGGCACTATGGGACACGACTTTCTACCCCACTCTCAGTACCAGCTGACTGTGTAGTTTTTTTTTTTTGTTATTGTTGTTGGGTTTTTGTTTGTTTGTTTTTTTAGCAGTCTCCAATCAGGCATAATTGGGACGTGTGGCAAAACGTATATATGCACGTGCCTGTGTGTGGGTTGGTGTATGAGAGTACAGTGTCTGCAGAGGCAGAGGAGGGTGTCAGATCCCTGGAGCTGGAGTTAGATGTGGTTGTGAGTCACAGCTTGTGGGTGCTGGGAACTGAACTCGAGTCCTCTGTGAGAGCAGTTCACACTCTTAACCCCTGAGCCATTTCTGTAGTCTCTCAAATGTTTTCATAAGTGTGTGCATGCGTGTGTGTGTGTGTGTGTGTGTGTGAGAGAGAGAGAGAGAGAGAGAGAGAGAGAGAGAGAGAGAGAGAGAGAGAGACAGAGAGACAGAGAGACAGAGAGACAGGCAGACAGACAGTCAGAAAGACAGACAGTTCTTTCTCAGTTGCAGTGTATACAGAGTGTAATTTACTCAAGATTTGTGTTTGTTTTTCTTGTTGTTTTGTTTTGTGTTTTAAGACAGGGTTTCACTGCCTTGGTTGTCCCGGAACTAGTACTGTAGACCAGGCTGTTCTAGAGCTCACAGAGATCAGGTTGCCTCTGCCTCCCAGGTGCTGAGATTAAAGCCTGCACCACCACTGTTCAGCAATACATAAAGTATGTTTCAACCCCAATTGGCAGATTTGTTCAGGTGATTTTCATTGGCCAACAGATGAAAATGAATCTGATTTGCTAAATGCAGGAGTCTATTACATGTTCAGCTTACAAGGAGCTGTTTTCTCCATGATCTGTCTCCAAATGATAAATGTGGGAAGAAGCCAACAGAATTACTGTGACCCACAACTAGACCCTAAGAACATACACAAATGAGAAATATCTGTTATTGCAAGCCACCTGAATATTGGTATTGTCTGTGACTTATTCTAGTGTATGTGGGATATGATAACTTAGAAATGTATTTTGCTGAGAGCCTGAGAGGAAAACCCCTGAGCATCTGTGGTTGCAGTGAAGTGGTGTGTAGGCATATTTATCACTATGGAAATACTTGATAGATTTAGTAATTACACAGGAGTTCATATTCTGTCATATCTGGTTTCCATCCTTGCAGCACCTCAGTTACTTGGTAACTTACTGAATAAAGAATGGTGTAGGGAGGGCAAGGCAGGTGTCTGTGGAAGGGTCAGGTGTGGAACGGAAATGGTCTGGCCCAGGGTCTGGGTGACCGGCTGAGGGCTGCCCTGACAGCAGAACAGGAGCCCAAGCAGTGAGGGGAATGTCAGCATGCTGGTGAGAAAGTGTCTGGATTCAGGAGAGAGTCTCCAAGCAGCAGTCTGCTGTGAGACGTCAGAGCCTGAGAGGTGAGGAGGGCAGCTATGCTGTGGAATGGTCACTTGTAGGGAGTCTGTGCTCCAGCATGGTGAGGAGAGTATGAACTCACTAGGTCACTTCCTGTGGGGGATCAGAACTGTAAATAGGTGAGGAGAGAGTCCTGATGGAGGAACTGGGCATTTGGAGAGGTGAGGAGGGCATCCATGCATGGTGAGGTGAACATCGTGCATGGTGAGGAGGGCATTGGGCTTGGTGAGGAGGGTACCCGTGCAATGTGAGGAGGGCACAGGTGCATAGTGTTGGCTCCATACTGAGTTGGAAGAGACATGGAATGTTGAGAGGAACTTCATTGCAGAGCGTAGACCAGGCATGGGTAAACAGTGTCTCTATGGTGGACCTCAGTGTGGGATCTTAGTGTCTAGTAGGGTAAGGAGAGCATCCTTGCCTGGTTGTGGATGTCCTGGCATTGGGTGCAGTGGTCAAATAGGCCGAGGAGAGTGTCTGTGCAGAAGGCAGAGCTGGTATGGGGTTCAGAGACTGGCAAGGTAAGGATGTTGTCTACCTGGTGGAATAGCTCTGTGTGGCCACTCAGTACCTTCCAAGGTGATGAGGGCTTCTGCACATGGAGGTGACCTAGGTGGAGTGCTAAAGCCTCAGGGGAAAGTGGAGAGTCCTCAGGGATTAACACCAGGAGTCAGAGCACAAGCCTGGTGAAGGAGGCCTTCCTTAGTCATGACATGAGAACTTCAGCAAGGTGTCTGGTCCTGAGAGGGAACATCCAGCGAAAGGGAGGGTGGTATCAGTTCAGGGGACAAAGGTTTGACCTGAGGGCTGGAGGATCCATCTTCTTGGAGAATGTGAGAGGGTGATTGGGCAGCATTCAAGAGGTTACCATTTGAGAACCTTCAATAGAGATAATGAATATAGTTTTTTTTCCAGTCACAGATGTAGGTTAGAAATGCTGAAATTTGGGAAATAAAAGGAAATCTGCAACAATATTCATTAAAATTGGGGTAATAATGTGCACTTATAATTTTTCGTATGTTTGGATACAAACTGGAGAGAAAACCTAGAAACAAACAGTAAGTGTGTATGTTTGTGTGTGTGTTCATGCATGTACTGTTTGTTTGTTATTTGTAGGTGCCAGAGGAGATTTCAAGAAGGGAATTGTTTGGAAGAGCTGAAGGTTGAACATGTGGCTATGAGCTGGAAGACGTCTGCGGGAGGAACTCAAATGATCCCATTTTTAGTAACTAGTTTAAAGTTTCCCCTCTGGTATATTGTGATCCATTAATTCTCCCAACTGTTCCCAAAGGTGCTGTGAACCCAAAAGGCTCAAGCTGAGCAGTGCAGGGATCAAGGGAAGAGAGGCATGAGGAGAGAGACAGCCTCCTCCCACAGCTGCTAACCAGAGCTGTGTCAGGATGTGGCCAGTGGCACAGTGAGTGGAGAGTGCCCATGAGTGAGTTATGAAGACAGCTGGAAGCAGAGAGCTCAGAGGAGCAGCTTCAGAAGGACCAGGATGTGAACTTTGCCTTCCCCCTGCAGGAGGCAACTGAGTGGGAAGTGAGAGGGGTGAGGGGCCAATGGTCCTCTAGAATGTGGTGTCAGAACTTGGCTGTTCAGTCAAAATGGATGTTGTCATGTCTTAAGTGTTTGCTCATGTTGTCCGGTTCTGAAATCACGTTTGCGTACAGAAGCTCATGAAGTTATGTTTGCTGCAGAGTGTCTTAGGACAGAGTTTTCACACAGCATGGTTCCTCTTCTCCTCTCCTTCCTATTTCTTTCCTTCCCCCTTTGAGCTCCCTTTTTATAGTATTTGCATATCGTGCTGAGTAGGTTCAGACACTACAATTCTTATCTTCTTGTATGGAAATGTTGCATCTCTGTATGTGGTCCGAGTGATTCCGTGTTGTGGTTTCTCATTCTCATGTGGGATATCACATCTGGAACTCCCTCTTCTCATATATAATTGTGTGATATGACAATGTATCACCGTGTTTGGTTCTCACATACCACGAGTTTTAGGGAGGAGACTTGGTGAGTTTTCTGAGTGAGGCAGTTCTCTTCTTGATATGGCTTCAGAAATCACCTATGCAGAAGTGAAGTTCAAGAATGAATCCAACTCCTCAAGCACCTACTCAGATTCTGCTACAGGTAAAAAATTCTGGACTTAATGTAGGGGGAAGGATAAAGGAAGAGTCAATAATAAACTTTGGGTATGTTGGTTACTAATCCTCTCAGTGCTCATGTCTGGGATTTTAATGGAGTCGCAAGGGATTGAATTGTTTGTAGAGTGACTTTAAGGGCTGTAGAGTTTTCTAGTGGGAAAGAAAAGCTTGTGTGGCATGGTTTTTGTTCTTGTCTTTTACATAAACTATACCTTGTATCTTACATTCTTGTATATATATCTTGTAGATAGCATTTCCTGCTTTATAAAAATGAACATAAAATGAAATCATACTTTTCACTATTGAGCTTTTTCCCTCTATGTTTGACAGTATATTGTAACTTTATGAAAACTGTTACTCTGTGTGGAGCTTTTATCCTGAAGGAACTTTTTCTTTTATACTATAGATCAAAGCAAAGCCTCTCCCTTGGTAGGCAGTTGCTCTCCACTACATGAGTCAATGACCAGCAGAGTGACCATATGCTAAAGAAGTGGAATATGACTAGAAATATTTACCTTTTATTGTATATGCGTTTTAATGTTTGGACAGTCTGGAGGGTATTAGAATATATCCTGCTGCAACCACAGTAAAGAACACCAAGAAAACAAGGTGAAGTGAAAATGTACCTACAAGACAGTGTAAAAGGAAAGCCACAGCAGATGACAGTACTTATGCTGTGTCCTCATGTGGGAAAACATACTATATGTACATCCTTTAAAAATTGCTGAAAGGACCAGTGTGGTTTAATTCCAGCACTCCAGAGGCAGAGGCAGGAGGATCACCAAGGATTTGAGGCCAGCCAGCTCTACATAGTGAGATCCTAGCTCATTACACCTCCCACCACCAAAAAAGAACTTGCTCAAAGGATTTGATCAAAGCATTTTTGTGGATATATATTCAAATTATTTTTCAGATTTCAAAATATTAATAACAGTTATTTCAACAATGGGTATACTTTTATGCATTTTGTACTGATTTTACAATGGACATTATTTTTCTATTATTTTAAATGTTCACAATATTTGTAATTATGAGACATGGGGGAGAAGTAGGGAGACGGGGAGGGAGGAAAAGCAGAAACAAGGGTGAAACTTATCACTCATGAGATGAATGTGCTCTCCTTCCAGCTCCCAATGTGAAGCCCACCCCTCATCTAAGTAAGCCTGGCCACCCCTCGCTGCTCTTTATATCACTGATGGCACTTTTCCTGCTGTTGGCAATCGCATTCTTGGTTGCTTTTATCTGTACGTATCCCAGATGAATCAATAGATGATGTCTGCCTTAGGTGAAGAGAGGTTCTGCTGTAGCACCAGCATTTAACAGAGTATGGAGAAGAAATGTTGATTGGGGAGAAATAATTCAAAGGGTTACATTGTGGCTTCTACTGTCCTTGGATTTAGCCATTGTCTTGGGGAAAAAGGAATCCATTCTCATTAGAGAAACTGAAGTGCATTTATGAGCATATGTGGGTTTGTGGATGAACTCTGTGGAGTGTTGTTATTGTTAGACTGGGAGGTCAAATCTGTTTTTCTCATTGGCATTGAGAAGTCAAGCTGTATGTGTATATAAGCTGTGTGTCTATAGGGCTCCTTCATCTTGGGATGACCTTGTGGACAAGAAATATTTAGGAAGAAATTATCCAAGAAGTGTTCTTCAGCTGATTTCTAATTGCTGTGTCCCGCCCAGGATTATGTGATATCTAGGAGCCAACTGAGCAAATGGGTGGATTTCTGCTCATCAAAGTTTCGAGAATTTCTGAAAAATTTAAAATGCATGCAAACTAGTATATTTAGGGTGTTTTACTCATTCATTTGAATCAAGAAGCAGCCATTTACTGTATATCTTACAGTGTGTCTAACAGACAGAGTCCAGTAAGAACATGGACTCTGTTCTCCAGAATCTTGGAGGAAAGTCAATGAAATAGTGTCAGCCAGGTATAGTGGCATACTCCTACTATCGCAGCTACTCAGGATGTTAAGACAGGAGGACACGAGGGTGGATCTATATAGATGTAACTGTCTTATTGAATAAGAAACCTGACTACCTCAGTTGATAGAGAAGAGACACTGAATCTCAGGGTCTTGGGTTCGTGCCCCACATTAGTTGCCAAATGTAGATGTAACGGTCTTATTAAATAAGAAACACAGAGCCAAATGCAGAGTTAAAAGCCCAAGAGGTCAGAGCAGGAGCTGAGAGCTGAGACTAAAACAAACTGCCATCTTACCCTTCACTGCCACTGCTGTCCCTCCCCTGAGAAAGACCTACTTCCTATGTATCTGTGTTTTTATTGACTTTCTGTTCTGTCTTCTCATTGGTTGTAAACCCGACCACATCAGGCCTCTAGGTCTCTATGGTTAATATTGAGATTAAAGGTGTGTGTCTCCATGCTGGCTGTATCCTTGAACACACAGAGATCTGCCTGTCATGTGATCAGGATTAAGGACGTGTGCTACCACTGCCAGACTTCTGAATGGCTTGCTATTAGCTCTGAACCCCAGGCAACTTTATTTATTAACATACAAATAAAATCACATTTCAGCACAAATAAAATATAACCATAGAGTTAGCTTGGACTATGTAAAAAAATCTGTGTCTAAAAAATATGAAGAAAAAGTGGACTAGTGTCTACAACATTGTCCAGGAAGTCTTGTGCTGACACAGATTTCCTAGAAGAGGCTATGTCTAGAACTGTGTGTACCAAGAATGTCACAGAGATGTGAGACAGAAGCATGAGTGGCTGAAGTACACAGTTCCAAGTGAAGAAGAAAGGACATTTCCTTAGGTAGACATAGTGGCATGCAGAGCTTGTGTTGTGCCCCATTATGAAAAACTAAGTTTTTTTCTAAATATTGTTTTTTTAATCAAGTATGGTTTTCTGTTTAATAAATCAGCATAAACTTAATAAACTAAGACAATTTCTTACTTATCTTATGCTTCTGTGGTTTGTCAGCTTAGGCTGATCTCCACTGAGTGACTTCTCTGGTCCTAGCTGAACTTAGACGTGTGTATGTGGTCAGTTACCATTCCAGGCACCTCAGCTTCCAAGAAGAGGCATCCAGCTTGAATGACTAACAGTATGACCCACCTTTATATAATTCCTTAGGATGTCCTGGCTTGTTTACATACCAGCATACAGACTTCCAAATTGAGGGTGACCATGAGCCAGGTCTATTAAAAATATTAACCCAAAACCTGGAGAGATTACTCAGTAGTTAAGAGCACTGAATACTCTTCTATAGGTCCAGAGTTCAATTCCTATAAACCACATAGTGACTCACAATCATCTGTAATGAGATCTGGTACCCTCTTCTAGTCTGTAGGCATACATGTAGCCAGAACACTGTATAT